ATGTGGCGTTGCTACAGTGTTGCGCCACATCTGGCGCAACACTGTAGCAAACTTTGAAGTAGCGCATAAATCTGGCGACACGTTGGAGGACAAAAAGTGTATTTTTACGCTAGAGTCACGCTGGGCTGGAGAAACTCTAACAGAGCTTGCTCTCAGCGTACAGAGTTCATAAAATGAGAAAATGAGGAGCGCGGAACAGCGAACCAAAGGGAAGGAAAAATAAAGGCGGGAACACTTAAATTAAGAGTGATCAAAGTTTTTAAACCCGGCCCGATAATCGATCCGGGCATGTCTTCGAGTTTCTGGGTCACCGGTTCAACCGTGGGTCACCGTGTCAATTGCTGAACTGGATAATTAATTTTATGATTTATAAAATTATATATAGAGTATTTTGTGATATATAAATATACATAAGAATAACAAATTTAAATATTTTGTATGTAAAACTTGTAGATTAAAGTGGTTATACTATGTATATATTTACCATATAAATATATATACATAATTCTATTTTTTAAAAATAAAAAGAAAATTAAAAATAATACATATGGGGACCGGGTGAACCGAGTTGACCCAGCCGGGTCAATGTCCAGGGTCGACCGGGTCAAGGCCGGGTCGACCGGGTTTTGACTGGGTTTGACCGGGTCCGTTGTTGCCCAGTCCAATTAGCCCATCCAGACCGGTTCCGGCTCCAGGTCGACCGGGTCCCGGGTGGACCTGTCGGGCCGGTCCCAATCACAAAACACTGAGAGTGACACCTTATTTATTTTTTTATTTTTAATTTTTGGCAAAAAAGCAGTGTTTTGTGACCCGGAACGGACCGACGGGTCGACCCGGTCGACCTGCAGTCGAAGCCGGTTCCGGGTGGGTTATTTGGACAGGAAAACAACGGGGAAGAAGGCGGATTCACGGTAGCAGGAAAAGAATTGGTAAATCGAGAGGAAAGGGGGACAGTATCGAGCTCATCCTCGTCCTCTGGCACGTCCATTGAGCCAAAGGCAGGTCGACGGCAAAGGAGAGGAATATTGTCCATGGAATCTCCGGAGTTAGGAGAAGAAGCACGAGCGATAAAAACACGGGTAGGGACGGTATCACCAGGCCGAAGTATCGAGAGGGGAACAACGTCAGGGACAAAAATAACTTCTTGGACTGAATCAGAGGAAACAGTGGTCAAGGAGGATGGAGAACTCAAACCAGCACCAGAATGATGGTCGTTCTCACTGGAGGTCGCAGAGTCTGAAAAAATAAGAACAAAAGAACAACATCAAAAGGGAACTTTTGCAGAGAGAAAAGGGGAAAAGGAAGGCTAGGGTTTCTAGAGGAAGCAATTTCAAAAACCAGGGGAAGAAAAGTAGGAATTTCGAAAAAATTTCAAAGGAAAAGCAAAATTCACAATGTTCAACAAGCAAACCAAAGCATCCAAAGCACAGATTCAGAACGAAAAGCGCAAATTCAAAAAATTCAACAGACAATCTTGGGATACCCAACACCAAAAATCCAAGAGCACATAAATCTGAGATGCAGAGAATGCAAATTCAAGTGAAGAATGACTTACTCATAACCGTGGGTGAGCGAATTGAAGAAGCCTTGAGAGCACAAAAGGAATCGTCGCGGAGAAAGCTAGAGTTTTGCAGAGATGATTTTTTAATGCAGAGGAGTTTGAAAGTTGCGAAGGTGGAAAAAGTCAGAAAAATCACTAAGTATGGGTTTTATATGAAGACCTTAAGAGATGTGGAAGAAGGAGGACTGTCAGATGAAGATAAAATCGAACAGGCAAAAGAATTAATGAGTGCGGAACTCAAAGAAGTGCGAGACACGAGGAGGCGTAATCATTAAAACGTCTGACAAACGCGGTAGATGTGATGCGTGGCAGAAAATCAGGCGCGGCAGAAAGGACACGTGACAAAAACTTTATTTCTTGCAATTAAAGAGGAATTATTTGAAAAAATAAGCGGGAAACTCACCAAGTGGTCGATATCTGGCACAAAATTACTCAGGAGGAAGATGAGCACAATTTCACTCTTAGATCGAGTCATTCAGACTCGACCAGAGTTGGGGGCGAGAGGGACTAGATGATATAGGATATTATACCTACCAGGCTAAACCGTTCTACTGAACCAGTCGAAGAGGTCATACTGTAAAGGAACTGAGCCAAGTGGCAGGAAGATCGATCAGTTAACTAGTCGACCAGATAAGTGATCGAGCAACTTAATCGCCTCAACAGATCGATCACCTCGCGGACTTAACACTCTATGGATCGGCCTAGTCACAGGCGCGTGTGAGAGTCTCTAACCGAATTTCAGGAGAATATTCACTTCATGTGCAGAAGGACATGTGTCGAGAATGTAGTGGTTGATAGCGACAACCACCTCTGATAACTCCCAACGTCCCGCGCCACCTCTGACATGTGTGTTGTGAGTATTTTTACCGGAGTAGAATCGAAAGATTCGTTCCCCGGGTCGTATCGCAAGGAAGGTTAGTCGGATTCAATTGTACGATTATTCGATCACGAGAAAGAAAAGAAAAATTCCTAAACACTCTATTCAATAATTTTTGGGGTTTAATTATCAGCTAAAGATTTAAAACTAATGCAAACTGTAACGCCCCGTTTTATTTTAAAGAGTTTACCGAATTTATTGATAAAAATCAGAGTAAATTTTTTCGCTAAATTCCAAATTAAAACTTT